GGCAACAAAAAATGTAATATGTAGTTCTAATAGCAATAGTCATCATTTTCCTAACGCAGTACATTTGGTTGTTTTTGTCAAGACCAATACTATCTAACATGTCTAAAAATGTATAACATTCTTCTGCAAAAATACCTAAAGAGCTGATGGAGAGGTTTATAAATTTAACTTGGTTAAAATTTTTACCTAGCTGTCTCAATAATTCTCTATATTTATCCTTCTTCCGTTTTACGTTGTTTTTGAGGTTTGTCTCATAACCAGTGGTGAGTTCAACCACATATAAGGAACCATTTGAGCACGATAATAACAAATCTGGGCGATACGTATCACCAGTAAGTATTGAAGGGCTTTTGAATCCATTTAGATCAGCGCAGAGAGTAGAACCGTCAACAGTTTGTAAAGTATGAGCAAGATAATAATAATAATAATAATAATAATAATAATAATAATAATAATAATAATAACAATAATAATAATAATAATAATAATAATAATAATAATAATAATAATAATAATAATAATAATAATAATAATAATAATAATAATAATAATAATAATAATTTTTTTAAACCTTTACAAATCAATTACATAGCCTGACCCATATAGTCATACATTTATGAGTCCAGACCAAATTTTCCCTAACTACACTTAATAAATAAGACAACAGTTCTCTGAATAAGCAGGTCCGTTATCTACACTGTCACACATTAGTAGCTAATAGAAGTTGAGTTTTTCAGGGCAAGACCAGTTCTTATTTCTCTTACAAAATATGTAGAAAGTGGCACGAAGTGCAACCTCCATACATTTTGTTATGATACGATCGTCTTGCAAATTTAACAACCTACATAGCCTACGAAATTGGCCTATACTCTTCGTGACGAAGCCTAGAGTAGTGACTTCCAAAGTTATAACTTTAAATCTATCACACGGTATAATAATAATAATAATAATAATAATAATAATAATAATAATAATAATAATAATAATAATAATAATAATAATAATAATAATAATAATAATAATAATAATAATAATAATAATAATGGAAACATCAAATTTTATTTCATAACTATACTAAGATACAACCTTAATCTCTGGAACACAGGCAGAAGGCTGCAATTATGGTACAAGCTAAAAATTTACAATGTAAAAGATATTTAAATACTGTATATTTACAATAATTGAAAAATACTACCATGTTAATAAGTTAGGTTCCGTCCAGTCCTTGTCTTTGCGGCAGAATATATAATAAGTTGATCTAATACAACATGCACCTATTTTAGCAATTAGATCATTAGTTTTTTGATTATCTAATAACAAGTCGTTAGATATAAAGTCCATGAATGAACGACTGCTTTTTCCCAGAATTCCCAAAGCTCCAACCGAGATGTTGACAAACTTTACTCTGTTATACTGATTTCTTAGTTCAGAACATAGACCACTATAATGATTGTGTTTACGTACAGCATTGTCTTTAATTCTCGTCTCAAAACCGACAGTTAATTCCAAAACAAATACCCAACTCCGTTATTTGTCTATAACCATGATATCAGGACGTTTTTGTTCACCAGTAATAATAGAGGGGCTCATATATCCTGTGATATCACAGTATAGTTCGATGTTGTTGGTGATTGATAGCAAATAGTCAGTATAATCTTCAACACAGAATTATGTCTCCATGTATAACGACCCTCTTGTAGATGAACTTTGCATGCAGACGCAACATGTTGAAGGGTTTGCGTGTTGTAGCATACTTTACATAATGCATTTTCGCTTTTCTTCCAAAGAACCGTATTCTTCAAGGTTGGTAAGGTGTTGTTTAGGTAACGGATACAAAAATTGAATATGTTCTTGGGTAATTTGTTGAGGGTTCGATGCCATTGTTTCACATCTGATACAAGCGTTTCCTGCTAAAGGGATTTAACAACGATGCTCTGTGATACAAGCTTGTTCACTTTATCTAGTTCTGCGTCTCTAATTTCCTTTAGAACCTCTCGACAATTGTTAAAACGATCATGCTGAATGTTACAACCCGATCTTGTGCTACAGTATACATGTCTGGCATCTTCATTGGTTGAGTTCTTTAACTGACCTCTAAAAGATACCTGACACTGAGCATGCGTAGTGGAAACATCAATAACATTCAAGCCAAACTTTGTTTTCGCCAAGAGAACAATCTCAAGAGTACCATTGGGAGGAATCTCTAGCCATCTACGTAACATTTTATGACACAAGTTGTCTAAATTTTCTTTTATCCAGGTCTTTTCAATATCGGCAATAGTTAAATGCCAGGAAATTTTCGACATTAAGTAAAATTGATAGAGTTCCAATTTGTACTTGGGGTGTAAAGGCAACAGATCTATTGTCTTGAGAATATTTTCCACCATTTCCAGAAGTTCCTGCTTATGAGCACTGTTATCCATCTCAAAATTGAAGTATCTTCCTAAGTACTTTATATTACCCCCATTATCAACTGTTGGTATTGGCTCAGTATTAACAAAAACTTTCGGAAGTGTTTGCTTAGCAGCAGAATTTACTTTTTCTATACCGAATGTCCTACATTTGTCCACCCTGATTTTCATATCACACCACGTACACCACGCAGTGAAAGCATTTAATTAATTAACAAGATCTGATTTTCATACGTTTGTCCCGTTATAACTGCCGCATCATCGGCAAACTGATACCAGTGTTTCGGGCATAAGTATTCGGAATACGAGTATCCTAACTGGGTAAACTTCTCTGATTTTATATACTGGACAAATGTGTTGACTACCAGATTAAATAACAGTGGACTTAGACAATCACCTTGTAGGACTCCTTTCTCGACATGCATGAACTCGGTACTACAGTATAGGAATCAGTAATAACTGTGGTTCGGAAGTTTCTGTACAAACTGTCGATTAACTGAATTACTGACTCAGGCATATGGTGGTATTTTAATACAACTGGTATTAAGCGATGATGCACTTCGCCAAATGCATCACGAAGATCAAGCAATGTCACTACTAATGATCTCTGCCGCCTTTTGGCTTGACGTATAAGGTACGCTAAGTGAGCCGTGTGTTCGTAGTTGCCAGAAATCCCAGGTGACTGACATCCAGCTACTATGTGTAGTAATGTTTCAGGGCTAAGACAAAAAGAACAGTCTGCATTTGAAGATATTGCCCATGCATCTGTTTAGGTTTTTGCGCGTCGGAAGAGAGTTGTTAATGTAACGAATGGTAAAGTTGTAAATGTTTTTCGGGAGCTTTGATTGGGCGATGGACCACACCTTGTTAAGCTGGGGGTAAAGCGAACTTCGTGACGCTGCAAAAAAAGGATCCTTGACTGGTTAATTGGTTCAGGAGTTTGTTTTCGTGACCAGAACGCAAATCTTTGAGAACTTCCTTAGTAGAGTTATAAGCGTCATATTGGATATTAGTATGGTTACTGGTTGCTTTCTACAGGTCGTTAGTTGATTCATTACCAGAAGATTTTGAAGCTTTTCGGAGGATTGTTTGACACTGGATAAATTTTACAGATGGAGGATAAATACTCAGGCCAAATTTGTTATTTGTTAGAAAGATAGTACTTAGTGTTTCTGATATTGGTACATCAAGCCATCTGCTGCAATAGAGTCGATATTTTCATGTTTTAGAGAGTGTTGCGACCGTGAAGTGCCAAGCTAACTTGGACAAGACGTAGCGACTGTAGAGGAGCAGTTTATTTTTGCGGTGTAGTGGCTTTGAGTCAATATCAGTCATTAGTTCATTAAGTAGAGTGGTTAGTTCAGTTTTATGATTATCATTCGACATGTGAAAATCAAAGTAACGTCCTAAATATTGAAATGATTCTCCAATGGGGATTTTTGGTATTAGTTGATTGCCGATGAGGAGTTTTGGCAAGTATTGAACTGATTTTGTGATGGCTTTTTTAATGCCAAAGGTCTTGCATTTGTCAACTCGGATAATTATATCAGACCATTGGCATCAGATAGAAAATCGATTTAATAGATGTTGTTTTTCGGATTCTTGGCCAGTAATTACAGCCGCGTGGGCTTGGAACCAGTGGATGGGATTTAGTAATTTGAAGGAAAACCCAAATTGACGGTACTTTTCAGCTTTGACATGCTGAACGAATGTATTGAAGCACATGATAAAAAGAAGAGGACTGAGGCAATCTCCTTGCAATACGCTACGGCCAACTGTCATAAAAGGAGTGCGGAATTCAGAGGTAATTATCGAGGTTTGGAAATCAGTATATAAACTTTTTATAACAAATTTTATATGATCAGGGATATGGTGGTAGTCAAGTACGGATTGGATGCATGAGGTTGTGATGGATTTCGCCGAAGGCATTCTTAAGATCAAGTAGGGTGATGACAACAGAGCGTTGTCTGATCCGAGCTTGATTAACAATGTCAGCCATTTGTGCAGTATGTTCTAGAGTGCCAGATAGGTTAGGGGTGAAGCCTTTTTGTATTTTGTGTTCGACGAAGTTATTAGATGCGAGGAAGGAGTATACTGCGTTTCGAAGACAAGATGTGAATACTTTTAACGGTATGGATTCGAGTGTTATGGCGCGGAAATTTGAAGGGTCATTATTAATAATAATAATAATAATAATAATGGAAACTTTATTTATTTCAATTATATATATATATATATATATATATATATATATATATATATATATATATATATATATATATATATATATATATATATATATATATATATATATATTTTTTCGTTTTACCTCAAAAAACCACAACAGTCTGTTTCATCCGTATAGGAATCATCAGGTGGTGAATAATTTCGAAATTGTAGGTTGCTTTTACGCTATCGAAAGAATGTGCGGAATGCGTGTAGGCGAAACAATGCTTAGGTGAAACAATGCATGCTTGGGTCATTAGGTTTTGTTAACGACCTTGTTTACTCGAAACCGGTTTTTGTGACGACATTTGCCGAAAATTTCGCGTCTTTTATTGAGTAAATTGTCTTTGTTTATGTCTTTCAAAATGCAAAATTTTTCTTCCAAACATAAATTGCAGCGTTTTGATCCCCCTGTGTACGAAATAGCGTGTTTTAAAATTGACCATTTGATGGTATAATCCTGATTGTTTTCTTTTAATTTCCAAATATGTTTCGAAAGTTCTGTTTTGTTTGAGTCTTTTTTACGACGAAAAGATGAAGTGTGGTTAGCGTAACGTTCCTTAAATGTAGTCGCTGTCATACCAATGTAGTGTTTAGTGTCGTTCGTGTTGTTCGTTGTGACTGTTGCTTTCTAAATAATGTTGTTGGTCATGCATTGTTTCGGTAGCGGGCAAGTGTTTTTGTTGTCGCAGTTACAGTTGTCAGTTTCCGTATTCTGTGATTGACTGTTCCTAATTATATGTGCGTTGTGTTTGGTGATTATACACTTAACGTTGTTCATGCAACTGTAGCTTACTTTTAAAGTGTTTCTGTTAAAAATCTTATGTAGTTTGTGCTGTAGCGGGAAGTGTTTGTCAATTAAACTTAAGAATTCCCGTCCTATGTTCGTGTTAACACTCTTACTAAATGGTGGGTTGAACCAAATTATGTTGCGTTGCCTATTCCTACGTGTCCGTTGCTGTGCGTTCTCAGTGTACGTAAATTCATGATCAAAGTTGCTATGTGTAAGAGCGTTCTGGTAAATAGGTGTGGATTCCTTAAATGTTTGTTCGTCCGATGAGAGAAGTGCAATGCGTTTGTTGATAGCTGTAGGTAATTGTCTTGTAATGCTTGGTGGATGGTTTGAGTGTCTGTGGATGTACAATGGATCGTCATTGGGTTTCCTGTATGGTTTGTGTTTTGCGTTGATCAGGTCGAAAGTAACATCTAAAAATTTACAACGTTCATATTTACTTCGGCGGTGATTTTAAGGTCAAATTGCTCGAAAATTTTGTGTAGCTCTTTTCTAGTTTTGTCTAGTAAACGGGCGGATTTGCTTTTTATAATAGCCAAACCATCATCTCTATAAAGTCCGATGTTTTCCTTGCCAAACCTCTTACCTAAGTGATTTAAAATGAAAAGGCCTACCAGCTCACAAATTTCAGCGCCGTCGAAACTACCCATAGTGACGTCAAATAAACTGTTGTTTCCGTCTTTTTTTGTCCATAATTTGCCGTTGCCGAAAAGTAGAGATTTTCTTGCATGTTTTATTATTGAAATATCGTTTTCGGTAATAGTAGTCAAATCCGAAGCCCAGGCCAATGCTTCATTTAAAAGTTTTTCGGAAATAGATGGGTAAAAATCCACAATATCAAATGAAATAAAACTGTGCCTGTCTTTATCGTTTATATTGCCAAACCATGAAATTACTTGTTGCGTATTTCTCCATTGATTTGAATTTAGTTTTTGTCTCAAATTGGAATTAAATTTATCTAAAATAACCTTACTTAGTTTTCCGGATTCGCTTTTTGCGGGATTAATTAGTCGGCATTTTGGATTGTTTTCGAAATTTTCTTTGTGATCTTTTAAAGATATAAATGCTTCGCGTTTTTTCATTCGTTCAATTCTGTCGCCAATTCCTAACTTACTCGAAATTTCTTTCAATTCGGAGTCAATTTCATGTATGAAATCCTCTGATCCATGTTTGTACGTTTTCGTGATGTTATCATGTAAGAGTTCGTTGTATGTGTTCAGTGACGTTTCGTAAATGTTTCTAGTTTTGTCCGCGAAAATGACGTTTCGTAAATGTTTCTAGTTTTGTCCGCGTGGTTTTTTGAGGTAAAACGAAAAACTATATTACGCTCTATCTATATGGTATTGAGCACTGTTTGTGTTTCGTAAACCAAAATCTTAAGCTATATATATATATATATATATATATATATATATATATATATATATATATATATATATATATATATATATACACTACAATGATAAACCTCTCTTTACAGGTAGTTTACCAGTGTCTACTTGAATTAACACTCTACATAATAACAATATTAGTATGACATTAGTTGTGGGTTATCCCATTCTTTGTTACGCTTACAGAATATATAATACGAGGACCTGATACATATATTAATAATTTTCCGAACATAGTACTTTCTACATTGTTCATCAAACTTTAGATC